CATTTTGCGAGATGTAAACAACACTGGTCCAGAAACACTTCCTGTTTCAGTTTGTAACTGTTTTCTTTATTTCACATGTAAAGAAAACATCTTAAAGATGTTTGTTTAACTTTTTTGATTCAGTTTTATATGTTCTGTTGGTTGTATTTTATCCCAGCTTTTATGTAGTGTTAAAAAACTGAAACAGGAAGTGCTTCTGGACCAGTGTTGTTTACATCTTTACATCTTTTTTCCTACAATGGAAGTCAATGGCTACCGTCAACTGTTTGGTTACCAACATTCTTTAAAATATCTTCTTTTGTGTTTAACAGAAAATAAAGAAACTCATACAGGTTTGAAACAACTTGAGGGTAAGTAATGACACAATTTTGGGTGAACCATCCCTTTAAAAATTGACAAAACTTTGTACATTTCAAATATGTGGATCACAGAACTACATTTGAATGATGCATTGCATATGAGTTTGTAACCTATTTACTATGTGAAATTAATTAAACTGATGTCTTTATGCAATTTTAATTACATTTTCAACACGGATTCTGTTACTGCCAGTTTTAGATCTCATTAATGACTCATGTCATATAAAAATAAATTCACTGCAGTTGACAGAAGATAAGCAGCTTACCAATATAGTAAATTGAGCCGTTATTACAGCCCAGCAAGAGAAAGGAGCCAGCGGTGTCACAGCTTGTGATGGGCACCACATCCTGCACCTGGACAAGTGATATATTGCAAACGACATAATCAAATATGTAAGCTGATTATATGCTTGTTAATGAAAAAAAATAACCTGGCATGACTGTTGTAGAATAAAATCTGAATTGCTTTACCTGCCAGTGCTGGGTGACGGCGTTCCACACTCCTACCTTTCCCGTGTGACTGGTGGCGACTAGCTGACTCCCAATGAAAAACAGAGAGTCAACGGGTACTCCGAGACTGAACACACCTTCACAAAGACAGAGAAACATTATCTCACAAAATTGACACACATGAGTGACTGTGCATTTCATTTCTGTTCTGTCCTCCCACCTATTTCACTTCCGCTCCCTCCGTCCTGGATACTCCACAAAATAATGCTGCTCTCCGATGACGCTGCCACCATCTTGTCTTTATCTCCATGTGGGCCGCCCACAACTTTAGCATTGAGGGCCACCCGCTCAATGGCCCAGTCCAGGTAAGGGCTGGAAAACACCTGCTGCCAGCCTGATGATTCTTTTATCCTAAAGAACAATCACAGTCAACCTATGGTGAGTATAACCTTTATTATTTTATATTTGAAACTCATGTAATATGTAGCTTTACCTGTAGCAGATGACAAAATGTGCATATGCAGCTACTATCCAGTTATGATGGCCAGCCACAATCAGCACCTTTCTAGGGTCCACTGGTGATCCTATTTCAACATAAAAATACAAAATAATATAACCTAGTGTCTTTAAACACCAGTAGGTCTAAATGTAGTGCATTGAACTCAAACTACATTTGTCAGAATAATAAAACCTTCAGACTTAACTCAATCATGATCACTGTCTTTTATAGTTTAAAGGTATTTATGATTTATATAAAAACCCTCACCATATTTCCCGTTCTGTGCGATTCAGTGGATACTGTAATACTAATAGTAAAATGTATTCATAATTTAAGAAATAAAGTTAAGCTTATGCATTAAAAAATGACAATAACAAGCATTTTATGTTGTTGTTTTTTTTTTTTTCAGAACAAGGTACATTGAAAGTTTTCATATATATAGTGTGTGTGTGTATACACTATATGAATAATTCAAAAGGCTGATAACACAACAGTACTGGGGTGGGACGGGGGTGTCAGCACTCTTGCTTGTGTGATATTGCTAAACTACTGTTTATCAAACTATATATATATATTTTACAAAAACCCATACATGTGCATGGGTATTTTAGTCTACATAACTAAAAAAGAACTACATTTTTTTATAAAAGTGTGGTTTATATCCACGCATGTGTTTTTTACTCAGCATCTTTAAACTATATTTGGTTCCTGTAAGGCTTGTACTCACCCAGTCTTTGCGGTCCATCTGCCCCAGAGGGTCCTGGGAGAGAGGACAGAGGGCAGGAACGGAGGTAACCCCCCTCTGCACCACTGGGGCCTGAATGCTCCTCTGGACCTGCAACAGCTGCAGCCTGACCACCAGCATTGCTCCTCGCTGGGAGAGCTGAAGGACGCAAATACCAGGCACATACTGATGTTAGAGTTATATTTGGCTGAGAGGAAGAAACGGTGACTGTTTTATTCTCTTTCTTCTACAGATCTACTCTCACCCTACCTGGCGGAGGGAGGTAGCCATGAAACAACACACTTCCACACGATGATCGCTCCAGTTCTTCACAAAGCAGTAAGCGGCGGACTAACCATATCAGTGACAAATAAAAACACAAGGCAAGAATTATCCATAGATGCAACAAAATATGGTTTAACAGATATATCTAGTCCAGTTATGCCATACCTAATGGTGTAATACCATAAAACTCAGCTTCATGTCGCAGGATACTTATGTTAACCCCCCTATCAGAGAAAACAGGAATATTACATGCATAAAATACTATACAGATTGTATATATTTATGGGATATGAAATGGATATCAAATAGGCATATCATATCTCACCTCATGTCCAATTCTTTAGTTCGGAGGAAGTTTAAAATGGGTGCAAATGCTGTTGGGTCTCTATCAATAAATATCTTGTAGAAAAAAAAATCTGATTCAGAGTTGGAAAACATTTCTAATTTTATTGCATCTGAAAAAACTTATAAATGTTTTTTATCAAACTTTTTTTCTTAATTTTTATACACAATTACAGGTACAAATGGAACTTGGGACTTTGGGTCAATCAAATCATTTTTCTTGCTACTTAAAAATACATATTTCTACTCACAGCTCCAGTTTCATCCCGTAGCGTTGATATTCTCCCACTAAGTAAACTGGGCAGGAAAAATACATTTATACAAAGCTATGCAATGTCCATAGTATAATGACTACATTAGTTTAATAATTCAACAAGAATGGATAGAGCTTTAGCAAATTTGCATACAAAGAGGATATCTGGTGTGATAATTCTGAGAGATCTATTAAAGGGTTTATATCATAACAAATCAAATTTTACCTGTAACTTTTCAGATTGATATATAACATAGCCTGCGCAAACTTCAGAACTCAAAACTTTCTCCCAGTTAAAAAAAAAAATAACAAGGCAGTGGTGCTGCTTCAAGCATCTTATCTTACCTTGAGAAGAAGGAGTCAGGAATCCATGTCAGAGTCTGCCTTGATGTGCTAAATCTGAAAGCATGTAGATACGATTTATGATTACTTCTGATTGATCAGAAGCTGAGCTGAGCTGAATGATCTAATATGCAGTTTACAGTTATTGTTTCAACAGTAAAACAAATAAAAAATAATAGGGGTCACCTAAAACGTGTCATTATAATTGATTTATTATTATTTTTACAATTGTATATAGCAAACTTAAACTTAAACATTGAATTTTGGGGGAAATTGTGGCATCTTGTAAGTTTTTGTTTTGTTTGTTTCTTTTTCTTTTTTTTTGTTTCGTTTTTTCTTTAATTACGATGATATTTTAGGGGTTTTGGGATATATCATGATTAGTATAGGACACGTATAACCGGAGGATGAAGGAACTGTATTGTCTTGGTCCCGTTATGTAACGTAATAATATTCATGGCCCTGTTCAAGACGTTTAGTAGACTGAGTTCAAAATCATGTGCTTTGTAGTTTAAGACATGGTTGTTACCGTTAAATATTTGCGCTCATCACTTAAAAGTCTAAAGCCGCTGCACAGCATTTCATCCCAAATAAAACTGTTTTGACTTCGAGTTTATGTAAAGAAGTCATGACGTCAGCGTACCTCATTCCTCCGACATTCAGCTGGATGATGTCACCCATTCCAGATGTTGAACTGTTCCCAATTCCAGCCATCCTCTAATTCGGTTAGCGAGGAGAAATGCACGCGACCTGAATGTCCAGTTTGACCATCGATCCAGCTGGAGTCCTCAAGATTCTCTTTATTCTTCCTCACGAGCCAGCGAACCCATAAATTACGCGTCACTAGATCGGCGTATGAGACGGAGCTGCTCGTACAAAGTGTTTTCCATATTCAGAGTTTTAATAAACAACTCAGAACATGGCCTTCAATGATCAAAGGCCCCTTTTTGTAGCCTGTGGGACTTGGGATAGCTACGTTCAGTGTTGTGGGCGCCATAGAGCGATGCTAGAACGCTGTGGACTCATGAGAGCGTCAGCCAATCGGATAGCGTCATTCCTGACACAGGACGCAGACCCCGCCCAGTGTGTTTTGGAAGTGTATCTTGACTTGAGCATAGTCCTTGAGGCTGGACTTCTCCTCAATATTTTTTTTTATTGCTAATTAAATACGTTTTTACAAATGAAAAAAAAAAACCAAACATAAGCACTTTTATTAAAACATCAACTAAAAAGACATTTACTCTAAAATGCACTCTTATACTCAACGCCAGTATTCTAGATAAAAACTGTTTTATTCAAAATGAGTGCCGCGATCTTCCCAATACTATCAGTTTCATGCACGCCACTAATATATGTTTACTTAGCAATTTCAGCCAATGCTTATAAGCGCTTTAAGAATCATAAACAACATGTCTGCCCCCCTGAGGCGACTCGCCCCATAAAATAGAACAGATTTTTTCAGGTTACGGGGATGACTGTCTTCGTGTGTTAAGGTCTTCACCTAATGTGAGTGAACATGAAACATTTTGCATAAGCTGGCCTAGCCTATAAATTATTTCTTTATAGGTAGAATGTCTTTTTTGAGGAACAAATTGATGTAATTGTACACTACAAATTAAGTATGCTACATAGTGTGCACTACAAACTTGCGCGTTACAAAAATCGAATGCTATTACAAAGCTTGTATGCTTAGATTGCATTTTTACAGTAAAATTGACTGAAAATATGCGCACACACAGTCACAAGTATTGACTGAAACATTTTATTGCAGAAAATGGTGTTATTCAGGATTAAGGCATACGTCTTTCCTCATTTTCTTCATAATTTATCACCCTGTTTCAAGAACACCGCATTGACAGTACAGAAGAGCTTTTCTACTCGACCTTGTTCAAAAAAGCAGGAAGCTGTTCATTTGTTTTTTCACAGGTTTCACCAAACCCTTTATGACAAAATTTCACTACCAAATATCATTATGGATTTATTATTTCCTTTGAGTGTTTTATGCTTTAATCCACATCTGTATCTGTCACAGCTTTCGCCTCTTTATTATTTGATTGGCTTAAAGTCCTAGTAATAAACAGCATTGTCATCACAGAAACTTTCAAGCCTGCTTAAAGTCGCTGGACATCCCAGGTTGAAGGTTGACGTGAAAGGTGAAGAGCATGTAAATGGAACAAGTGACTTATCAGGGCTGATGCAAATCAGAGTCTGGCCAAGAATTGCCATAAAATTCAAATTTGGAAGTATTCTAATTACTTTTAGTACACTAGTACACACAAATAACCATGCAGATCATTTCTGGGAAGCAAGCTGTGGTATAAATAGAAGGAATGAACAAATACTGAGATTGGAATGCTTTACACTTCAGTTGTGAACAGTTTTTTTTTTTTTTTTTTTTTTAAATAAAATAATTTTGTAGTAAACAAAAAAATATGTTAATGTACAAATATTATGGTCATATTAAAAGAAAAAAAAGCTGTCTTCATATAGATGACTACACAAACATAACAAAAACGTAATGCAAAAGACATGGTTAAGCCACTGGAATCTGGTCCTATCCAAAATATTACCTTAACTGCATATAAATAGCAAGAATAGGAAATGTCAAGTGCATGGAGTGTCACTAAGCCACAGTAATAATATTGTTGTTTTCTTCAGTAATATAAATGTGTGTTGATAAGCTGCACTCATTTGAAATTAGCATAGTCAGAGTAGATGTCAACAAAATCTTGCACAACTCTGTAGCAGTAGTCATATTGTTCCTGAGAAAACAAATGAAAATATGTTATCATAATGCAAACAATGATCTGATAGTCAAAAACGATTTATTCTATTATTTTATCATACTATTTTCCATATTGTAATATAGTGAAGCCATCAGATCTAAAAAAAGTCCATACTATAATATGTTAGTGAAGCCATGAGATCTATATGAATTATGTAAAGTGTTTTGCATTCTTACCACGGTTTGGACCATATGTGGTCTCTGAGTGCGTAAACTCTTCACTGTCTGAAATACATCCAGTAACCCTTCGGCTTTGACCCGCTCTAAGATGTTACTGAGGGCAATGAAGGTTCCGGTCCGACCAGCACCAGCACTGATGTCATGAAGAAAAATACACACTTTTATGATCGGTTTTACAGGCTTACACACACACACAGAGTCGTTGGGGGGGATCCTGGTAAACCCTACTGTATGTTATGGGGACCAAATGTCCTCTCAAGGATAGTAATACCAAAAATCGTTGACATTTTTTTTGTCCCAATGAGTTAAATAGCTTATAAATCATACTCAATGATGTTGTTTTGAAAATGTAAAATGGATAAAGTTTTCTGTAAGGGTTGTGTTTACGGTTAGGGGATAGAATGTACAATTTTTACATTATAAAAATAATTATGTCTATCGAAAGTCCTCATAAAACATAAGAAGAATGTGTGTGTGTGTGTGTGTTTAAGTGAGGGAGAGATAAAGAGTGTGTGTACCTGCAGTGCACCACTATTGGGTTGTTTCCAGATTGCTGTTGTTGTTTTTGCACTGCAGCAATTATGTCAATCATTCCCCTTCCGTCTGACGGGATTCCAATCTCTGGCCAACCATGGAAATGGAACTGTCTTACTAGACGTTTCTGCTTCTCCTGCAAACAGCCCAATTCAGCCTTAGAATGGTCAACAAATTTAGCACAATAAAGGAAGCTCCTAATGTAAGTGAAGCGTATGATGGACCATAAAATGGTCAAATTCACTGTACGTTTAACTCACTGGTGCATATGACAGCAGCATGTCTCGAATGCTGAAAGTCTCACAAAGTGTGTCTCTCTTCAGCTCCAGTACATACTCTCCAAATGAAACGCTGCCCTCTGCTGGCCAGTAATGTACACACTTCTCCTGGAGAGAGAGTTGTTGGAAAGGAATGCATGAATGCTTCAGACATGAAAGAGTAAATGCACCATTTATTTACGTTGATTCATATATAAATATAAAAAAGTTCAAATATAAACCATTAAACTCTGTTACTGATACCTGTTCTCTCTCTTTCAGTTCAGTCAGCATGACAAGAGAGTGGCACTTCCTTTCCCATACCATGCGCCAAAAGTCCTGCACAGTGTGAGCCAAAGGTGCTTGAGTTGCTATAAAGTAATCCTTTTGCCTATAACCCTGCAATGGTAAAGCATAATGTTATGGGTGCATTTGTAATTTTTTTTAATGGTCTTAAATATATTTATTAAAGTGCATGCAAAACAAGAACTGAATAAATAGCCTGTATGTGTGCAAAATTACTATTATTTTAATTCTACATAGTCAACTTGTATAGCTTTTAATAGATGCACACTAGTTTTGCAGTGCATGCCAGATTTACACACTACTCTGCATTTGATATTGGCAATGCATAATATATTTGTAGTGCACATCAAGTAATATCATTATTTTAATAATATATACTTACATCTATGAAAGATGCATTAATGTAGTCTGTGAATTCCTGCCCTCTTTTCATTGATAAAATGACCCTGTTGAAGTCATCTGGTAAAAAAAAACACAAGATAATGATTATAAGTAGTGATGCACGATATATCGGCCGCCATATCGGTATCGGCCGATATATGTAAATTTTTAGTGTTATCGTTATCGGCCTGATAAGAGAATTAGGCCGATATATTAAAGCTGATAATTAATGTATTATTTCCTTCAGCTGAGTTGCTTCAGATGCACTGTTCAACATGATGGTTTGGAATTGCTTGAAATATGATTGGACAAAAAATGTTTAGTTAAAATTACAGTTTAGTGCAGCACAAGTCTGTCATATAGTCCATGTAAACTATATGATGTGATTGGGATATGGATTTTAATGGTGAGACTTTTGTTTTTGTATTCAGACTCTCAAAAATGAAATAAAAATTTGGATTAGATTTATCGGCCAATCTATCGGTTATCAGCTTTCAAGTATAAAGAATTATCGGTATCGGCCAAAATGTTCATATCGGTGCATCCCTAATTATAAATAAATAAATAAATAAAGAAAGAAAGAAAGAAAGAAAGAAAGAAAGAAAGAAAGAAAGAAAGAAAGAAAGAAAGAAAGAAAGAAAGAAAGAAAGAAGCTAAAATGATAAATCTGTATATAGTTTCTCACATGGGATGATCTGCAGTACTCTGTTTTTTCTCATGTTAGCAGGCAGATTTCCGGTTCTCATGTTCTCCTTCATTATGCGGACATTAGTCAGTTTCTGAGGAGATTCCAAATTAAAAGACATGTTAGAAAGAACACACTGTTCTTTCGAAGCTATTCACTTTTGTCAATGTTTAAAATAACGCATGAGATCTTTCTGTACTCTTTCTTAGCAAAACCTTGAACTGATGTGCTTCTTACTCTGAATTCTTCCTCCAGACCCACTCGGTCCATGTGTGTGTGTGTGTTGTGGAGTTTGTGGAGATGACCCTCCAATGAAGCGATGTCAAGCTCAGTGTCACCAAACAGGTAATGCTCCAAAAGTGCCTGGTAAATGAACGAATACTGCATCTGTGAGGCGAGAGAGAGGAATATCAGTGGCCAATCACTGCTGAAATGATGAGTCAAACACAGCAGAAAGTCCTTTACATCTGTTTGAATGAGTTGACAGCGCTGCTTTCTTATTCTGGACACAAAGCCGAACACATCCAACCTCCCTTCAGCGTGCATCATATCCATCATCGCGTCAATCACAGTGAACGTCCCAGTCCTGCCAACCCCAGCACTACACAGAGAGAAAATGAGTCGTGAGATGTAAAGTAGGGCATGGAATGAGGGATAATGAGATAATGTAGTCAAAACTGCACGGTCTTTTCATTTGTATTAATATCTTGGGATAGATAATTATCTCAGTTCAATTAAATGTGGAATCAATTGTGTGAATATTGCAGGTTCTTGCTTTATAGTGTATTAGACCTGAAAAAGTTACAGTTTGTCGTTTCACTGCAAAAAGGCCCTTTTCACACATGAGAAAGTCTGTTCTGGCTGAGGTGTTAACAATCCCACATTAACAGCTGAGCCTCAATACATTTGAGTTCCTGGTTGTTTCTACATACTTTGCATTTTCAGACTGTTTGTTTTAGTTGAAATGTTCAGGGTATTAAATGTGTTTTGCCCAATAAATCACTAGCATACTGAAATACACCCCAATCGAGTACAACAGTCAGGGTCCTGAAGTAAAAATTACATTCATTTTCTCCATATTGAATTTAGGCAGACCTGCAGTGTTCTCTGAGGTTGTTAATTAATGGTACATGTTTTTGTTAAAGCTATCAGTTTACATTATTTATTTATTTATTTTTACGAATTGTTTAACAGCAGAATTTCTGGATTCTGATTCTGGAATAAACCCTCCCCCAATCAGAGAGTCCCATGAAGCGCTGCAAATGGCGTAATTGAGATGGTCTGCTTAAATATTTGTATATATTTATATTAATATATAGTATAATCATTTAATATTTTTAATTTAGTTAAATCTCCGACTTGACGCAGCGCTATGCAGGCCGTTCAATGTATGACATCAAAGTACAGCGAAAGTACACTGTCTTTTTCAATTTCTGAATTTGCTTCAAATCAAATTTTGTAATGTTCTGATTTACAATGTAGCTGGTTGATTATGTTCATGGCTTAAAACGCTTTAAAAAAGGCTTTTTAAATTCCGTATAGGGGAAAAAAATCAGAAAGCGATGGCACTGAAAAAGTGGGGGAACTGTTGCACTCTATAGATCTGGTTGATTGTAGTTTGTACACATTTCTATTCATTTTCCTAAGTCTGTATCCGCATATATTTTAAGAAGAGCCCACACCACAGTCTTACCTACAGTGCACTATGATTGGTCCAGCATGGGGAGGGTTGACACTCTTGACTTTCTTGAGGAACTTTAGCATGCCAATAGGGGAGAGGGGTACACCAAAATCAGGCCAGCTGGTGAAGTGCAGCTGAGTGACCAACCTTGGAGGTCTGCAACCATCAGCAGCATGCTGCAAAATCACACCAGCTTGCATTCAAATAACTTACAAATAGCAAGAAGTCAAATAGCAAATAGTCAGTTGTGGCCTACTGATTCCACAAGAGTACTAGTACACACATTCTTTTGACATGCCATTTAGTGGCTCAGAATATTTTACATTCTGGGCTACTAAATGGCACGTCAAAAGAATTTGTGTACTAGTGTATGAGCATAGTATACAGAGCATTTGGATAATGATGGTGTAGTGTTTCTGAGGGAAATGGCCACTCACGTGCTGCACACAGAACTTCCTGATTGTGTAGTCCACCAACACTGTGACATCTTCCATTGCCACCCTCACACAGCCGTAGATCCAGCAGCCCTGCTCAGGCCAGTACTGATAGCATTTTTCCTGCATTTCACACATACAAACCACAGATGTTTGCAAAATATTGGGCAACAATAGACATATTTTGAATTTTGTTGTCATATGGACCCTTTTTATATGAGTTTTTGAATAAGGCCATGCAAGATCTTCTTTGCAACTGTTTACTTGTTAAACTCTCATAAAGTCTGTGGCTTTGTGATATCTTCTCTTACCTCTTTTCTCTCTCTTGTGTTGGTTAACATGACTATAGTGGTAGATTTTTGCTCCCAAACCATTCTCCAGAAATCTCCCACTGTCTCTAGTTTTGGGCCTAAACATAAGATATTGCAATTCAAAAGGGAGATTACATTAAATCGATTAAATGACCTGGTAATTTTCTGTAATTACAACTGGTAAGAGGGTGAAAAATTGCATACCTTGAGCTGCGATAAATTTGTTTTTTTCTCTGTAACCCTATGGGAAAGGTAAACTAATTAAATTAATTGAGACCAAAAAAAATATTTTAATATACTATAGGTCAAGATATAAGGTAATATAAGCATCATATCAATATTTTATATTTTATATACTAAAAGTAGATTACAGGTTCCAGTAATTGAATTAGGAGTACTCACATCTATATAAGAGGCATTTATGTAATCTGAGCCCATATATCCATCTATATGTGAAAGTAGCACTCTTGAGTGGTCATCTGTGAAGGAAATATACCGATGTGTTTTATTAAACCCCAGGACAAACTTTCTCCATCCAAATCCTAACAGTTACTTTGTGTTGCTTGACTCAAAACAAGCTCTTCCACAGTGTTTGCAAAATTTGCAAGTGTGTCTATGAAAGAGTGAGGGAGACTTACAGGGCAGAATATTGGGATATCTGTTCTTTTCTCTGTTCTCATCTCTGCTTGCCTCTTCAAAGGTACCACAGCCAAAACCGCAAGGCAAAGACTGTAAAAGAAAAGCAGCGGAAGAAAGACACAATGCGTAAGTGTAAGGAAACTATATGTGCATCTGGAGAATGATAAAGTCTGTGTGTCTCTAAGATCTTACATTAAATTCCTCTCTGAACAGTTTGCCATCATCTGCCATGCGTAGGCGAAACTCTTCCTCCAGGGAGTCCAGTGGAATGGGAAAATAACGCTTTGATGGAGAGGGTGATCTGGGAAGAAGCACCACTGTTTGTTCTGAGTGATGAGAGAGAAGAGAGAGAGAAGAAGAAAAATATACAGGGTGGATGAGAGACATTTTCTTACTGTTACTGTTGTATATCTCTCAAGTCAAAGCAGACGACAAGTTCTAAAAATGGTGTTCTAAAAATATAGGCTTAAAAACCAAAAAATCAGACCGATCAAAACTTACCTTGATCTTCCAAAAAGCCATTTGGCATCTTCTTGTCAACCGAAGCGACAAGATCCTTCCTTTGCTCTCTAAACCTGAGACATTTTGAAGTAAGACATTTACAGACAGATTTTATTTTACAAAAAAAAATGTAAAAATGGCTGAAAGTTCACAATACACACCAAAATCTAAAGTTCTTTCTCATGGGAGATTGTTTGGTTCTCTGATTCCTCAGAGCAGCTGAGAGAGAATGACTTGCTGACACACCATCACAACTGCTTTCACATTTCACTACACATGCAGCTGCTGCTGGAGCAACTCGGCAGGGTCATAAACACACGCACACTTAAAAGTGAAATGTTTTTTTTTTTTTCTACTTGTCTCCCGCGACTGAAAAGATAGCGACGAGTCAACTATAATAAAGCCATTTGCAGCCTCATTCGTGTAAACACTGTGGCTGTATGGTTCTATCTTTCAAAACATTTCTCTGTTTGTTTGTTTGATCTCAACCAATGATGTGAGTTTGGGGGCGGGGCTATCTGTTGGACCAACTAATGCCAGACCTTTCATCAAAGTTATTCATGAATTTTGAACAATACCCATTCTAGTCTTTGTACAATTTTGATGCACTTTTTTTGATCCACTTCAAATGTTTACTATAGTTTATTACCATTCAAAAGTGTGGGGCTGGTAAGTTTTTTTATGTTCTTATGCTCACCTGTATTTTTTTGATCAAAAAAATAGTAAAAATGGTAAATTTGTGAAATGTTTCAATTTAAAAGAACTGTTTTTGTTATTTTTATTTTTATGTAATTTATTATGTAAATGTAATTTATTGTTGTGATGGCAAAGCTGAATTTCTTCAGTCACGTGAGCCTTCAGAAATCATTTTAATATGCTGATTGGCTGTTTAAGAAACATTTCTTAACATTATCAATGTTGAAAACAGTTGTGCTGCATAATATTTTGTGTATTTTTTCAGAATTCCTTATTGATTAGAAACTTCAAAGGAATAGCTTATACAGTATTTGAAATAGAAATATTTTGTAACATTATAAATGTCTTTTACTGAAGCTTTCAAATGTTAAAAGTCCTGTCTTTAAAAGTATTTATTTCCTACAAAAAAAATAATCTTACTGGCCCCAAACTTTTGAACAGTAGTATACTATAGGATAGGTTTGAAAGTATGCAGTGTAGAGAAGACCTAGAGGAAGTGAATCTTTAAGAGTTATGATTAATTTTACATTTAAATATTGTGAGTTGCTCCATCATTGAGTGGAGCACTTTTCATTATAGAGAGAACGTGTGTGACAAGTATTTGTAGCTGGCGTGAGAGGTTTAATGAAGGACTGGAAGTACAGTATAGTAGCAGGAAGTTATGCTATTAGCAACAGAGGAGACTAGAGCTTAGTACAGTAGGGGTCAAGTAAAGAGCTGTTCACTCATATACATTTCATTGTATCTCTGCACATACTGTATAATGTGTTTGATTTTTTTTTTTTTGGTTTAAAAAATAATGTTTTTGGGGAGTGTGTATTTTCTTACCTCAAAATGTAGGCGATGAGGAGAATAAAGATGACGAGAAGGAGAGAGGTGACGAGGCCTGAGGCTAAGACATGTGGGCCCTGAGGCGCCGGAGATTCTGAACAGAGAAAAAGAAAGACAACTGAGTGAGGTAAGATTTCCATTGGCCTTTCAGACTAACTTTTCCATAGGCTAATATATGCAGTCTTGTTTTAAGAAGGAAAATGATTTATACTGGATAAAATGTGTAAATACTTTCATACTTTCCAATTCCAATTCTATGTGTACAGATGTGGGGCTGTGGGCCTGTTTATAAATAATTTTGAGTAAAAATAAATATGGTATACCTGTTGTCAGGTTTCCATGAGAGGAACTGTTTGAAATGAGAGCTGCTAGAAACAGGACCATCATGGCTACACATAAAGAGAGAAAACGACAAACAATCAAAAATATTTGTGAGTCTTCGGTAATAAATTGTACATTCGGTAAAAAAAATTACATTTCAGAACAATTCTGCAAAAGCTTCACAAGAGATTAACCTATATTAAAACCATCAATCTTCTTCTCATGCATGCAGTGAGAATATTCCCTCTACATGAGCAAATCTAAAATTAATTTCAATTAATGGTCCAGAGAGTAACGGGCTCTAGGGATACGGCACCATCTACCGCACACATGCAGCAGCAACTGAAACTCTGAAACTAGGACAAGTCTTTTTACCCCAGATATTATCTTTTATATCTATAAAAGGTGTTGTGTAGAAATGCATCTCACAAGTGTGCATATCTATAATGTGATGTGTATATACTATAGTGGGGTTCAAAAGAGAACATTTAAAATATGATTTGTAAAAATGTAAATCATAATATCTATGCAGAAATCTGTGGTGTTTGGTTAAAGTTTTGCTTCCTTTCATTTTTAAGAGGGTGGGAATAAGAGAACTCTGGATTTTTAGATGTCCAACCTGTGAGAAAACCCCCCCAGACAGCAAATCTGTCACATAACCTGTATGCCTGATCCCCTGTGACATTTTCAGAGAGATTTTACAGTTATTAATCCTTTCAAAAGCGTATCACTAGAAAATCTACCTGCCTCCAAATGTCTATGAACTCAATCTAGAGATTAGAAAAGACAAGATGAAGGATTAATGCAGCCTTACACAAAAGTGTACTCACAAAAGTGAAATATGTCTCACACCAAGAAGCCAACGTCTCAGTCCATAGCTTTCAAGAGAGAAGACATTAATTATTATGATACTTTTCCAGAAGCTCTCCAGGAGTCATGATATCTGTGAAGGCACTCCTGTCCTTCAATAATGTATGAGTGCAGGTTTTTTCATTGTTCTTTCTGGGTGGACTATCCTTAGACAGTCACTGCCTGCAAAGAACAAGGGATGAGGATGCATTAGGAGAGGGAATTGTCTTTGTTTTTTAAACCTCATAAAATGTGTAGGACATGCAGAGGCAGAGGGAGTTGTGAATGGAGGGTGAGAGAAACAAAAATAACTTTAAATCTGTCCTCTAGCATTGTGCCAGTGGATTTGTCGAAATCGAAACCCCATTGAGAAGATCTGCTTCTACTAAAAAGCATTATTTTGTAGTCAAGAATATCTAACCTTATAGATTATTATTCCTAAAGTCCATTGCTTTCAACCAGTGATGCTGTAATGCAGAATTTATCTTCAGTCTCTGCAGCAGCTGTAAATAACCATTTCATACATATTCATAACACAGTAATGTCAAGGATGAGAATGGGCCCACCCATAAGAATTTTTTAAGCAACAACCCTAGTCATAACTGTGTAAAACTGGGTCAGTCACTGTTGGTCATCTCAGCACCCTGACTGGATCACATGAAAGCAAATCAAATCAGGAACATTGTCAATCAAAACCAAAGTGTAACTGCACTAGAGACCTAATTTTTACATGTACCATTATTGTGACTCATGACAATAGCCATTTATTACATGCGTATGTTAAATTAAGGGTCATTTAGTATTACTTTATCTTATGCATTCAATACACTTTCACTCATTTATGGATGGCCATATTTTAATTTCACAAAAGCATATGTAAAGTCACATGGTAAATTTGATGAGAAGGTGAATAAATTGTGCTAAATAGAAAATAAGCATACCATCAAACCATATTTTGTTTATTTTTCCCCCTCTAAGAGCTCATTGTGGATTACACTGCTCAGAGGCTTCCACACAACCGAAGTAGTCGGGAAGCTGTTGTTAATGTATGAGTCAATAACAAATTCCCATGAAAAAATCATGCTAAAAGAGTCAAATGAGTCACCAGAAAGGCGAAACAACCTACTGACACAATACAAGGAACAAGCAACAACTCAGGCAGTAAAATCTGATCTGACCGTCATTACAAGCTGTGACCTTGAGAAGTGCATGTTGCTGCACTATGCAAATCGTTCATATGGAAATTGAATGCATATTGTTGGTGCAATTGTTTTAATACAGATAAATATGAGAGAGCACCACTGATGAGCTAACATTAAAACACATAAAAACTATTACCTAGCCTCTGTGATTTGTTTTACTAGTTTTATTTCAAAGTCAGACACGCATTTCCCCAGAACTTAGAGGTAAACAGAACACTTTTCTTTCTCTAAGAGATGCAATAAGCTCCTCATCATCCACTAAACACAGAACCTTTGAATACAAAAAAGGAAAAGATTTTAGCTTTCAAATCCAATAGGCTTCCTGTGTTAATGGGGGTCTTAGATCCTTCCTTTAACTAATTGTTACTCATACTCCATTAAGACTTTCTGCTTTTTAAGACATTCCGAAATACCATCATACTAAATACAAATAACATCATATTAGAATAGTGTTTACAATTTTTCCCCCACTGTTATTATAAGGCTAATGTTTTGTGTATTAGGTAAGAAGAAGAGTGTCTTAGCATTTGGCATTGAGTCATAGCCTAAACTGTCTTAAAGGTGCTATATGTATTTTTTAGCGGCCTCTATCGGTGATGTTTCAGATTGCAACCAATTTTTACAAGAGCGCTCGAGCTCTTGCGCGTGCTCGAACACGAGAGCGAACACTCATGGTACACGGCCACACTGAGACTTTCAACACACCGGAGAAAGCATCACACAACATGCTAGAAACTCATGTAAACTCCCAACGCAACGTTACAATAATAGGCTACTTTTATCAGCTTGACGTTGAACTAATGCTCCATGCTCGTACCATGATAACATTACATTTGTGGTGTTATCTAGCATAAAGCATTTCACTTACTATTCGTGTATCTTTCACAATCGGCAATGTCAACATACATGAATGTATAATATGATAACGAAAACGGTTAGTGAACTAGGCTGAACTATTTCAGTGTAACAGTACGATCGATTGTAGTAAGTGACATTACTGTACTGAACGTGTCCGGAAATGTGTATTATAAACAATATGATAGTAGTGGGATGACTGACGTTAGACAGTAGATGTGGTACATAAAATAAAAGTTACATCCTAAAGCACCTACTTTTTGTTATCCTGGAACAGTCTTTTGTATTCATTTCATGTCTCATATATGTTGTAGTTTACATTACAGTTTATCATTACTTCAGCATATCTGAAAACTTGCAATTTATAACAATATAAATAGCAGAGGTCGCCATAATTCAAACGCTCTGCCGATGTTGATCCGTGTTTTCGTCCTAAGTTGATCCGATTCACATTTGGCCTGACGAGCTTCAGCAGATACATTTTTGTTTTGTTTTGTTTTTTATATTTATGTGAGTTTGTGTGCTGGAGGCAGGAGTTTTTTGGTGTTATCAGACTCATGTCGTTCGCTGCAGTGCCGTCGCATAGACTGTATATAAAAAGGAGAGAGGCTCAGGAGCGCGCATGCACTTCACATCCGATGGATTTCGCAGAAAATCCGACCCGGAGACTTCACATAGAAATAGGAATACTGGCCTTCAGAGGTAATAGCAAAACCCGACAAGTGGATCATTGTTATGTGTGATTACAACCCCTTCACACACATGCAACAAAAAAAAAGGATTCATTTTAGAAGAAAAGTTCCATATAGCACCTTTAAGTAGCCTGTGTTTGGCACTTAAGATTTAATAACATGAGATTTTGACTAAATGACAGAAAAAAACTGAGTGACCACATAGCCATAGTAAACTTTATAATCTTTAAGTTGATAAACTTAATGCGATGCACTTACTTACTGCCTCAGATGCGGCTGTTCTAATGACGGATAAAACATGTATGTCCAAAACGTCGCTGGTAAAAAAAAAAAAATAAAAATAAAAAAACTCATAATTCCATTTGAGCTTGACTTATATAGTTATTTTATTTTAATTTCCTGAAAAGTAGCGTTATGTACATGCTACGTACCCCAAAAATCAATGTGTTCATTTTTATTTCTGACATTCATTTATCAATTCTCTAGCAGAAACTATATAGACTTTCAGTGGAATGAGATAATCGTAGGTCCAAATAACCATATACTCGAGAAGCAGATGGATGGAGGTGGTAGCCGTAGCAGCGTAGAGAGATGCTGACCAGCACACAGAAGGCTGACTCCGCACTATGACTGACCTCTATGGCAGAATCTGACTGACAGTGTTTATTTTCCATTTTGAGAGAGATGCAGAACAAATGCAAATGCATAGTAAAAATGCATAGTAAAAAGCCTCTTTCACAAGTAATGAGAGCTTATACTTATATTAATTTATGTGCATTGCATTACCAGCTTTTGACTTAAGTTGTAGCCTATAAATTATCTATCTAAAATTCACTTAACCCCATAACTGACAACTCCTTAACTGACATGTAGACTGAAAAACCATAATCTTGGCTAAATCTCTAGAAGCAAAATGATTTGTAACAATTTCATATTACTCCCATCCCGATCCCATGCAATCGAATGTCCTATAATTGGATTAAATCGATGAGAGACCTGAAACACAATAACGTCGTCAGTGGAAAAGGTCAAAGGCATTTGTTTCTTGTGAAATATCTACTATCTGAGTTTACATTATGGAACCATAACAGACAATAATCAGACTCAGACTTTAAATCTGCCATTTCATATATGCTGACCTCTTGGCCTTGGCAAGTGCGAGGGTGTTAAACTCAGAGTGTTTACAAACATCTTAAACTTTCAGATTAGAGTGCTGTGCATAAGTAATTATGAAATTAATCTTCCTGTAAGCACATGTTGCATTAATCCTGCCAGTCGTGCTCTCCCTTTATTAGAAACAAGGTCACATCACAACGATTTTTATACATTACTTAACTTTCAAGAAAATGTATCTGTAAATAAATATACTCATTTTATTACATTTTTTGTTTTATTTTTATATAGACATTTATTTATAGTGCTGAAATTATTCAATACACAGTACGATTTATAGAATGATTTTGAGTCTATAACAACTTTTGTTTTATCTCTGAGAGGAAAAAGGGCGGTAAAAGCTCGAAAATATTTAGATGGAAGAGAAATACAGAACATTTTGTGACAAAATATATTTGTAAAAATTGTTATCAATAACAATAAATAATCCATAATTTGGAAAACCATTTTTATAGTGGATGTGAGGTTTCCAGGTTTGTTTTGTTTGAGAAAAGCTTGCTATATCAATTGTCGTTGATATCAAAGGCTGCAAAACTACTGGAATTTAAAAGATAGCTATTTGTACATGTGCCTATTCATGTCATTTTAATAATATTGCATGGTAGGCTATTTGCTATTTTTATTTGACCTGACCCTTAATAATTACTTCTGTTTCCTAATGGATTCTGGTTGACTGAGTCATATATTTGTGACTTGAATAAAACGTGTTACCACATCTAAACATCTTTTACAATAGCTTCTGGATCTAGAATGAAGAGGAGTATGCCAATACCAATAGTATCACTTGTCAGGATCACTCTCTCCATCAGCCTCAGGGCAAAATCTATCAGCCTCTTTTTCCAAACAGCATCCACAGGCTCATGTCAATTGCCTTACGCAACTTTTTCTGTTCTGTAATATATGCATAAGGAATAACCCAAATAGAAGTGACGAAAAGGTCAGTCAACTGTTTTCATCCATATAATATTAGTGTAAACACAGGTGCACATTGATCCAATAATGCAATAACACTAGACAGAGCACTGATATTCTCCTATATTGTTTAAGCCTTAAAAGGGCAGGAACATAAAATTAATTGCAATGAAAATGAAACATAGAATTAGTTACTGTTATTTTACAGCACTTTGAATCCAATGTTTTGTTTCTTCAAAATGTTTTTATTTTAATTTTTTTTTTTTTACTTTTCTTTTAATTTTATGAAAATAACTTTAGTAAATAGGCTATATCAACATTCTGTCATATTACTTTTTATATCAAGATGTTTTTTTTTTTTTTTCTGGCGTATTTTAGTCTCCTGATCCAAGGATTTGCGGGGACCCCCTTTTCAACACTGTACAAAAAAAAAAAATTAAGGGTAAATCTACGAGCTGCAAAATTTTGAGCATAGGCGTGCAATATTTGTTGGGCATCATAGGTTGCGGTACAGGACAGCTGGAAAAAAATCATGCTGCATTCAAAGTGCTGTCTTTGGTTTGAGACACAACCCACTGACCCCTGTTCCATATGAACAAATCCGAAATGCCTAATTCTGCGGTAGCCTAATTGCCTGCCGAGTAAACACGCAAAACGTGTTTATAAAACCTCGTGTTTACCTTATGTGAGTAACGTTAAGCGACAAAATGGGGGATGCTGAGAGAACGAATTATTATGAACTCATCAGCATCACGGACGTGATCGAGGCCGTTTTAAAAAACCTTTTTCGTGCATTACCGTCGAGCGAAGTAAAGCTAACTTACACCAACGATAAATGACGTGAAACCATCTGTCTTAGAAAATAAATACCTGCAATATTACCAGTGTGATGTCCAGCTCCATGTAAAGTCTCGGTAAAATCCAGTGCTCAGTGTTGATGGTTGTAAGGATGCTGCTGAGCAGAATGTCCGTCTGTGGTCCCTCCTCTAGTACGAGCACCGGTACCGTGTGTGATGATGATGATGATGATGGTGCGCCGCCGACGGTGCGTCACTCTCATTTATGGTGATGAAAAAAACACCCAGTCACATAGCCTACAGTAGGCTACATCATGTAGACTAAAATTGCAAATAATTTTGATGCTCGTCAGACAGCTAAATATCGGATTTAAAATAACTGTGGTTATTTCTGCCATTGGTATAAGCAGCAGTGGGTGGAAGGCTAATTGACAAGAAATGCAAAGTTTTATAATCTTGCTGATAATGTTTCTTTAGTCATTTGGCAGTCCTGCAGCCTGAACCACTATAGGAATATCACCCTTGCATGGTAATTCAAATATTAATTTCTGAACTTAAAAAATCAGTATTGTGTGTTTTTTAAAATAAAAATAATAATAAATCCAGAGAAACTGTTAATTTTGCAAGGGTTTCTTAATTTTTAAGAACTGTATATCAATAATCATTATTATTCATTTTTTAAGCATAGCGTACACGTAACAACATTATGATGGTATATAGATGATCATGCTGTGACTGATTGGAAAAAAGCATTGATCCTGTCCTGTTATGTGCGCCAGTAGACTTGATTAGCAAATGTGGTGTAGCCCTACTACTAATGCTGAAGAGTAGCCTACATCTAGCCTACATCCCTTTGATGAAGAATATTTTCAAGAAACAGTCAGAGGCTGACTATGGAATGTAGTTTGTAATTGTACTGTTTGTTTAATTTCAGATCCAACACTGTCTCCCTGGTTGCCCTTATGGTCTATTTAATTTCAAGTCAATTATTAAATTATTAAATTTTATAATTTCATTATAAATTCAATTATCAAATTAGCTGATGCCCCTACACTGACAATATCATAAGGCCTATTTTCATTATCTGTGCATATTTTCCATCTCATTGCTTTCAATCCATGTTAAGTTTGAAAATGTTTGGTTAATAAATCACAATATTTCAAGCAGGACAGCATGATTAATGTTAATAATTCCAAGAGAAAAGTGGATTTTTTCTTAACTTTTATTAAACCTCTTCCAAAAACAAAACATACATTGACATTGCAAAGCACAATGTCAATTGAGTTTTTAAAAAAAAGAAACCCAAAGCAAATTACAACATAAAATAAATTATTTTAGAGAGCTTTAAGGCATTCAGCTGATTTACGGATTGACAGTTTCGTTTTTAAAAACCACAACACTAGCAATTTGATGAAATCTTTGTGTAAACAAAATATGAGAAAAGAGGAATTTGAACGATGTGAGTTTCACTTCCGCTGCTGTAGGTGTCGCTGGCGTCACTTTTCTGTTTCGATCCAAAACATAACGAAGAAGACACACGAGCCTGTCAACAAGAGCTATCTGTCAAAGACGCAGACATGTCAACAGATCGCCCTCATCCAAACTATAAAAACGTTTACGGTTCAGAATTAATGTGAACTTTTCCCGGTGGTAAGTTCTGTAGAAACAGAAAAGCTCATGTAATTAAGTTTCACCATAGACTACGCTAATTAGAAACCCTAACGTTACCCACCCTGTAAAGCTAACTCTAAAGCGACTGATTTTTTTGTTTTTAGTCTGTGATATGTATTCAGAGTAATGCATAGGCCACAAATAAAACACTAACTATTCTGCATAACCGTGTTGAACTCGATGAAGATAGGGAAATAGGGGAAGTTGTTCTCTTTTGTTGTGTAATTGAGTGCTTGTGGGTGTGCTCACTATTTAGTTCATACAGATGTTTGGATGCGTTTAATACAGCTGCACGAGTCACTTGTTGTGTTAGATTAGATTTATAAATGAATAGCTGTGTTTCTGTCTGCCCACGTGATTAAAATAAACAATACAAGTATAAAGCTGCACAGTAACTTCTGTATTACAATCAGCAACGCATAAACCATTTACAATCTGGGCCTTTTTTGCAGACTTCAGCTGGAGTGGGAGCACAGATCCACTGGGTGATCATGGCCAACCATCCAGCACCGCTGCCCTTGAGGGAGTTCTGCCCACTCTACTACCTTCTCAATGCGATCCCTGCTAAAGTCCAGAAAGGTTTCCGTTCGGTGCTGGTCTACTTGACCGCACTGGACTGCAACAATGATTATATAGCCATTGGCAGCAGCATTGGCATGCTGTACCTTTACTGCAGGAGAGTAAGCCAGATGAACAAATACAATTTAGAGGTAAGTCTGCTTAGTGCTTCCTCTCTCTCTCTCTTCTGCAGCACTCACCGTGGATTTGATCTAGTTAGGTACTGTTATCTGCCTCTTATGTTTTAATAGGGCAAATGTGAGGCCATTACTGCAGTGAAGTTGCTGAGTTGTTTCGATGATCTTGTGGCTGTTGGAACGGCATCAGGCCGGGTTGCTTTCTTTCAGCTTGTTTCACCATTGCCTGGCAGAAATAAACAGGTACAGTTTCATCTCTGATTACAGCATTCAAGTAGCAAGGATTTCATTGAATTAGTGGTTAGGTTTACTATTTTTTGCTGTTCATTTCATGATAATACATGCTTAATTGGAATTATTACATGACATTATTTTAGGCCTGTTTACTTTAAAGTAGCTGTTTTTTGTCCCTACTACCAGGAAAACGCATAGACTATTTGTCTAATTGATAATCTTATTAGTAAATGGGCCATGGTGTCACATTTTTGTCATCTCGCTGTAGCTGAGAAGGTTTGATGTGGTGGGCTTGCACAAAAGCACAATTACGGCATTAGCCTGGAGTGCTAATGGCATGAAGCTCTTCTCTGGTGATGATAAAGGGAAGGTGGTCTACTCTGCTGTGGACTTGGACCAAGTAAGCTTTTATAAGTAGCCTATTTCAGATATTTACATATTCAGATATCTGATTTGTTTTACTGTCTAATGGCTTAATTTGTGTGTGTGTGTGTGTGTGTGTTCATTCATTGGTCTTTTAGGGAGTGTGTAATCCAGTGGTCCTCTTCGAAGAGACTTCGGCAATAGTTCAGTTGGAATACAGTCAGAAAGTACTTCTGGTTTCGTCCTGTCAGCGCTCAATGCTCTTCTACACGCAAGAGCAGTCGCATCAGCAGCTGGGCACTAAACCACGTAAAAGGTACGACATCTTAAATCCATCTTCGCCTGAGAGTACTCTATCCTCATCAGGATTGCTCCTTTCTGAGTTGCTTAATTCTTAAATCTGGCTTGTTTTTTTACAGCAATGGCAAGTTTGGTGCTTGCTTCCAACCAGCTCTTTGCAAGCAGAGCGATCTGGTGATTTACGCTGCCAGGCCAGGGTTGCGTCTCTGGAGGACTGATGTGCGAGGACGTGTCGGAGAGACTCATGTCCTAAAGCCCCTTTTTAATCAGGATGTACCTCAGTTTGAGCTGTTCCCACGTTCAGGCCCCACCGGTGGCTACAGACCTCCAGAAAGACAGTTAGGAATGGTCAGCTGCTTTCTGAAGGATGGCTGGGTCCTCAGCTGGAATGAATATAGTGTTTATGTTGTGGACTGTACCAATCAGGTATGAATGCACACTTTGAATTTAAATTATATCCATAATTGAAATGTTGCTAATGCAAACATAATTTGTACCGTTGTTTCTCACTTATTTCATTTGCTCATTAAGGTCATCATTGGCGGATTGGAAAGCAGTGGAGATATAGTGTCTGTGTCGTGCACTGAGAATGAAATCTTCATTCTGAAAGGAGATCGGGACATTTTGCGGATCTCAAATTGCCCTGAGGGATTGGTTTCCAACTGTGAGTTGCAGTACTAATGCCATAATGGCAGTTTTAGTCACGCACTTTGCTCCATCAGCAGTATTCCGATATTAAGGGATAGGAAAAAGCCTCTTTTGCCCTTGGCACTCTGATAATTGGATTGTTGTTGTTGTTTTTTGTTTTTTTATATCCTTCATACATAGAGACGACTGGTATGAATAGTAGCTTCATGAGTTGTGGTTGTTAATGTGTAACAAATAGATGATATTTAAGTTCTTAGCTGATACACTAAAATTATTGACCCCCAAATTTTGAATGGTAATGTTTTTGAAACTCTCTGTTATATTATTATGACAAACGAGACCGCATTTATTTGATCAAAATTACAGTAAAAATAGTACTATTGTGAAATATTATTACAGTTTAAAATACCTAAAATACCTAAAAAAAAATATATTTCTTATCAAGAAACATTTCTTATTATTTTCAATGTTATCAATTCTAAAAAAAAGTTGTACTGCTTAATATTTTTGTTGAATCCATTTCTTTCAGGAATCTTTGATTTATTAAAAGTTCAAAAGAACAGCATTTATTTGAAATGTAAATCTTATACAGTAAGTGTTCATCAAAAAAAAAAAAAAAAAAAACCTTATTGACCCCAAATTAAAGATAGTGGACTTTCTTACCAAAAATTACTTTTTGCCACCAGTGGTCCCCAAAATGTGATTGGACACTTAAGTCTATTAAGTACATCATGTGTGAGTTTATTCAGGTGTCCTATGAACTGGTTCAATACTTTTGACAAACAGAAAGTGTCAATAATGCTTTTGGGGCCACTCTTATCTTACCTGTCTTTGCTTTTCTCCCCTCAGTATTAGACCACTCCTACCGTTTTACATCTCCTCTTTCCACACCCACCATTTTGCTGCCTCCTAATGGTGCTGTGGAAAACGCTCAGCCAATCAGGACAATGCCCATAATTACAGAGCAGCAGACTCAAGCCAGTCCCAGCTCAGAGGAGGTACATGATGAGGTTGAGGAATCAGAGGAGGTGCAGGAGGAGCAACATTTTGAGGGATTCAGTCATGCGGTTGAGGCTCTGGAGGTGGCAGAGGACTTGGAACAGCAGCGGGCCAGTTTGGGTACAGTGGAGTCCTGCAGCCGCAGCAGCTCCATCACCTCATGGGAGAGCGCACAGGGCACGCCCACCGCCACAGAGGCTTCCACCTCAGAGCTCTCCTCCAGCAGATACAGCGCCATCACCCAAGAAGACTTCCAACAGGAGCTGGTGGTCAAGGCCATCAAGCTGAAGAAGAAAGGCAAG